TATAGTTATTTTTTAATACAACAATATCTTTTTGTTATTTTAATCACAAAAATAGTAGTAGTAACATGCACGTCAAGTTATTATCACTGATACTATAGTAATACTTACTAGAAAAATAGTTTTCTTGACCATTTTTGTGGTTAAAACGGAAAAAAAGGATATTGTTGACCCCGAAAATAACTATATTTTTCTTTCAGCGTAACAAATCGTTCTACTGTTTACATACACGGAAAATAAGAACTAGCTTCTACAGCTGAAAATTAGCTTCCATAGATAAACATTAACTGTCCATATAATACAATTGAAATTTAGTTAATTTAGCTGATTTTTGTTCCTTTACGGAAAACAAATCTGGTTGCATCAACCAGAAAGGGAACAAACAGATGTGTTTTGATTGAAGAAAACAGAATTTCTGGCCATAAGAACATCTTAGTCATAAGAAACCGAAATTCTGTTTTTTTTTCAGCAAATGGCTGTTTCTTGTCTGGTTAATGCAATCAGACTTTTCTTTCCGTGCAGTTCTTTGTTCCCACAGCTAAAAACTAGATCTGACAACTAAATTTCAATTGCATCATATAGATAGCCAATTCTTTTTGTTTCGTATAGCAACTGACAGATATCGCCGCGACAGTGTAAAATTCGGTGTGTCTGCAAATTGTTTTTCTCCGTGAAAATGTCTCCCTTCAGGGTCCGTTATCTAAGAATTGTGACAGAGCTTTCTCAAAATTGATGTTTCACCATTTCATCTAACCGCAGCGAACACGACAAAAAGTTTTACGCGAACGGAGGGAAAACCTTGCACACGAGGCGTCGTTCATCTTTTTCTTCTATTTCGCGTACTCGAGAGAGGACGCTCGCTAGTCTTCGTTCTATGGATCCTAGTACCGGCAGCGAGAGTACTGGTACTCAGCTCGTAACGACTCTTTGCAACGACGAGGATCGATCGAGGTGCTCTCGGTCCGCACGTGCGCAGATTATATGCCTCTCTCTCTCTCTCCCCCCCTCCATCCCTCCACCCACTTCCCGTTTCTCCCCTTGCCTCATTGCCTTTTCCCAACCTGTCTATTCTTTCTATCTCTCTCTCTCTCTTTCCCTCTCCGTCTTTCTCCGCGCTCTGTCCTTCTTATTCTCTACACATTACCACGATCACGTCACTTCTCGTCGACATGAGTCGAACCTAGGCATCCTTTCACAGGGCTGCCTACGCGCTTACACACACACGTGCGCACACGCATGCGTACGCGCACACATTCGCCAATGTATGTGTGCGTGTCGATGCACACATCGATCCACCGGCGAGGGTGGGCGAAGCTTCACGGTAGTGCCGAGTGGCCCGCGCGAATCTTAATACAAAAGGAGGGTGCGTACGCGAGACGTAAGAAACGCCACGTGGCGTCGGCCTGCTGTCACGTGCATGCCGGCCGCTCTTGTTTGTAAATCGCTTTTCGCCACGGCGTCTCTCTGCAACGTCAGACGTCAATCACTCGCAGAGGTCAATCGATTTTACGACTAATTCCATTTTAAATTAATTATCCACGCTCATCAGGTGGCACATCGAGATTTACGATTTCGCGTAGTCGCGTCACGGGACATCGAAACGCGGAAGTTTCGAACATCGGCTCGAAATCGGAATTATGGAAAGTTCGTCGGTCACGTTGTTCTGTGCGGCGGAAAGAAAAATCGCGCGAAATTAACCTGCGCGCACGTAGCCGCGAAGGTTCTGCCATCGCCGAGGATTTACACTCTTCTGGGTAAACGCTCCTCGTCCTCCTCGTGAGCTCGCAACGTTTTTTCACGAAGGGACGACGCGAGAACGAGAGCCCCCTTCGGCTCTACAGTGGTACATTTTTTTCTAACAAAACGATTGCCGCCGACGATCAGACCGCTGTCTTGAAATGTTCTTCCTCGCTTTGCGAGGATCCCTTTCTCCCTCTTCTCCTCCTCTCTCCCTTTTCCTCCCTCTTTCTCTCTTTTTCTTTCTTTCTCTCTCTCTCTCTCTCTCTCTCTCTCTCTATATCTATCTATCTCCGCGTTCGTTTCATTTCTTTTACTTTTATCGATCGCCGTTTCTGCGACATCGCACGACGGTTGACGCCAGCGAGTTCGAAGTGAAAAAACGGTGAGTGATAAGCCACGTATGTACGAGTCCGTCTCTCGAACTCGCTTCGCGCTCGAGTCGAGCTCGTGTCTGTGTGCTACGTATGTGTGAATGTGTACTAAATCGAACGGGCACACGTTTACGGCGAACGAATCTTTACCTGGCGTTTCGATCGTGAATCTTATGGGGTGGCGACGGCGACAAGGTGTTAATCGTTGGTCGAAAGATAGCCACGTGGCGCTTAGTACACACGTGTCACCTCAAACAGCACACGACATCCCATGGACATTCCGGTGGATATCCCGTGGATGTCCTTAGGACATCGGACCGTTCTCAGGACATCCTCAGGATGTCCCTAGGAGATTTGTGCTATCTGGAACGTCGTCACCGCGATCCTCGCTCGAGCACGCGAATTCTTCTCGAATTTCCGTCGACACAGTTACCGGTTAGAAATCTACGAGCTCCGAAATAGACTGGAAAGATGGTATGTTTTCGTGCACAATTTCGTAACAATTAGCGAGTATGGCGGAGCGTTAATTGAAGCGCGCGTCGCGGTACGTCGACCGAGATCTAAAGAGCATCCAGGTGGGCCGAAATAGCCTCATCTCACACCTACGGCCATACCCCACGCGGTTATATATAGACATCGATCCGCCGCGAAAGATTCCGCGGCGGACGCTCTATGGCGAAACTGAAATCTCTAAAAAAAGAACCACGCGCGCACGCGAATGTCGCACGCGATCGCCGCAAGTGCGCTCGATGCGGCTGTCCGATTTTACCCCTCGGTCACCGTATAAGCGAGCGCATAGCGGATCTAGGATAGTATCAGAATAGATCTATCGGCGTCAATTTATCTACCGTGACCGGGCCGATGATGACGATCGTCGCGTCGGTCATGATGCCGAATTTGTGAAACGACGAGCGAAAACGTACAGTCCCTGGCCATATTATTAGACGCACCTTAATTTTTTACATTTCATTGACTTCCGAGGACCAGCTTTATAATACGGCTCATCTATCGATCGAAATATGGTTAAGGAATCATTATTCTAAAAAAGGTATTTTTTATGATTTCACTTGGCGATTACAGTGACTTTGCACAAATATGAACCCGCGCTAATTGTATTGTTGATAATAATGCGAACAGATGTGTTTTGAATGTGTGTGTGTGTGTGTGTGTGTGTGTGTGTGTGTGTGTGTGTGTGTCAATTGAAATTTAGTTTTATTTTTATTTATGTGGGACTTGAAACTTCAAATTCCTTGCTTACTGACAGAAAAATACATTTTTGTGTAAAAAATATTAATGCAACAATATTAATACAACAGTATTTAATAATTAATTAAATATTGTTTACAACAATTGTGGGTAAAACAAGCGATTTGACATCTCAGAAGGTTGCAGAGGTGAAAGCGCTGATTGACACCGAAAATTATTCTAGTCGAGTGAACATAAAATTAGTAGCTTTTCTCTTCCTACTAACCTATATTCTATGAAAAAATCAAAGTGCGTCTAATAATATGGTCAGCGACTATATAGAAGAGATAAACGAGATTTTGTATCGGGGACGAGTTGCGACAATGTTATTTTTTTCCTAACAGTTAGTAATATATTTTTGATTGAAACACAATTGATGTGTCTCTATGGTCGGATCTTATATTTAAGACCGTCTTAAGTTTTTATTTTAGATCGAACATTGAAGTTAGAACATGTTTGTATATTGAAGTTCAAACATCAAACATTGAAGTTCAAACATCAAACATTGAAATCAAACATTGAAGTTAGAACATATTTGTATATTGTAAAGCTTAAGAATTGTATATTAGAATGCGTTGAATAAGATTCTTGTAAAATTCAACTGCGAAAAGAAATATCACAAATAATAGTATGGAAATAATCACTTTCGATGGTCAAAAATGGTTTTTATCTTATGTTGATTTAAAATTATGATTTAAAATTATAATCTTTATAATTTGGTAAACTAAATTTTCACGTCATATAGATCGGTATTCATAATCGGATCTTATATTTAAGACTGTCTTAAGATGCTGTTATCCTCAGATGTTGTATGGCTCATTTCATTGGTTACGAAACATTTAAAGATGAACTTTAAGATGGTCTTAAATATAAGATCCGATTATGAATACCGGCCGATGTATGTACATGACATATATATTACATGTCCTACATGAAAACTTGGTTTACCAAGTTGTAAAGATTATAATTTTAAATCAAGGTAAGTAAAACTATTTTTGACTATCGAAAATGATTATTTCCTTTTTATAATATTTGTAATATTTCTTTTAATAGTTGCATTTTATAAGAATCTTATTCAACACATTCTAATATATAGTTCTTAAGCTTTACAGTACAAATATGTTCTAACTTCAATATTTAACCTAAAAATTTTGGCGACCATTTTAATATAATGAAGCCAATCAGGGAAAGTTGCGACATTTCATTGAGAGAGAGTTGAGACGCTCTACCCTCCTTCGAGATGAGTCTTTATTCTTTCATAAATATTTAATCTACTGTCAGTCTTAATATTATTATCATTTTTCCATAAAATATTTGTTTTTATTGCTTATAATAACTTTAATAAGTCATTTTTATTTAATACTTTTATAAATGTTTTAATGAATGATATTAACAAATTATTTTGCTCCGATTCTCCCTATCATCTGTCCTATTTTTCCCAGGTACGGGGGAGATTTCGGGCAAATATTCGACTTAACAATTTATTTATGATCTTAATTTCTAAGATAGTTCATTCAAATTCGGTACGAACTTCCTCAGTAGAGTAACAAATTAGTCTCAAGTTCGTTGTTGCGAAATTTTGCGAATAACAAGACAGAAGACAAAATGTCAAAATTGTCCCAACTCCCCCTCATTACTTCTACTCACCGGGATTGAAACCAGGTGAAGACCCCCTTTCCCCCATCCTTGGATTTTACGAAGCTTAAATTTGCGCGGCCCGTGCGTGCTTTGCAGTTTCTATTTTCGTCTCGGGATCTGAAACCGTTAAAGGTAATTTTACGGTGTACAAGCGATGTGTTTCGCTCAGCCGACTCTGCCCGACGACACAAACAACAGTAGCGGAAAAGTAACGTTACTTATCTCGGGGTTAAGATTTAACGTGACGTCGGGAACGACGGTTCAGGTACTAAGTTTAGCTAACGCCGCGCGACTTTCCGACTCGTTCGTGCGCTCGTGATCCTGGGCATATGCTCGGCATTATCGGGAGAGACGCATTTAGCGCCGTACGAGCATAGAGAATACGAGCCATTGTCTGCATACGAGAGTGCACGCACATCGATCGAGCGCGTGCTTCGTGATATAAAATACGAATCTCTGCGCGTGGTCGGCGCGGCAACCACAGGTTGTAGGATCCCAGGTAACGCAGTCTGACTATATTCGCTGCGACAGTAAAAATATGGCTGGTATAACATTCTGCCAACTTTAATTACAACTACTTAGTTGCAAATATTATTTTGCTGAACTATTAGCTGCGGAAGCGTTATGACAGCTAATCAAAAAAGTCAAAATGCAGCCACAGCTATTTTAGCTGCATCAATAGCTGTGCCGTCGCTGTGATAGCTATAAGAAAAATTTAAACTAGCCACAGAGCCATTTTAGCTGCATTAATTGATGATATGAAGTCGCTGACAGTAATAACAAATGCCGCAATTCAGCCGCGATTATTTTAGCTGCATTAATGGTTGTAAAAGCACCAGCTGTAAAAACAGTCAAATCTAGCCCTAGCCATTTTGCTTCTTTGGGGTTAGAAAGTGAATAATCTAGCATCTCTGTATAATTTAGCCGTAGTTTATATATCACAGAGAAAACAAAAAGTAACATGGCTATCAATTTTATATTAAATTTAATACGTATCAGCGGTAATTAGGTGTTCATTTGTGCGGCTCTAAAATTACTATGTATCTATGCGTAGTTCCATAATCAGCGTAGGTATGAATTTGCGTCCGCGCTATTATATTTACATGTATATTACAAATTATGATAATTTGATTAATTAATATCTGAAATGATTGATTAATATCTAAATTTGATTTAAGGCGAAGACGAGATTCTCCGGGGTTCAATCCTAGTTGAATCAAAAATTTTCCTTTAATTCTCCTCTCAATATTTTTACGTAATTTTAAAATTAAAATTCAACTTTCGTCGAATACTAATTCACATGTGAAAAACTCCGTTCATTAGGTTGTTTATTTTTATTCCGACCGCCACTGCTGCAACGTGACAACTTCATTGTAATAAAATAGTTGCGCAGCCAAATGGCCGCGACATCGTTTTCAAAGTCTAAAACTGCTGCCTCACTTTTTGCCGCTACAACTTTGTCAAAATGTTACAGTGACGTTTTACGGCGCAGTAGCTGTGTGTGCTGGACAGAAGCGCTGCGATTTAAGCTGCGGCAACGTTATCGTTTCAAAGCTCCGTGTGCTACTTGCGATGCACGTGTTCTTCCATTCCGTTCGGTGTCTATCCCATCGTCTTGACTCCGTCGTTGCGCAAATATCCGAAGGCCTCCTGAGCCTCGTCGGAACCTTGCTCGAGCGGCACCTAGGGAGAGAGCCGGCCCTCTCCCGGCGCGATCGATGTCCGATTTCCTATTTTCATCATTTAGCAGCGCGAATGTCCGCGCGACGAGTCTCGACGGGCATTAAACATGCACGACATCCTGTCTCGGATAAAACTTGTAGAAGTTTCCCGCGGTCTGGCGCGCGCCACGGTATTGTCGCATCGAGCATACTCGGAGTGTATACGTCGTTAGTGCGTGGATAAGTAAGTACGTCGCAGCGACGTGTTCGTGCAGAGAACTCTTTCGCGGGACCATTGACCGGGTAAGCGCGGAACACGATCGATTTCGCGCTCCTCGCATAGATTTCCGCCTCGCATGCCGTCTTCTTCCCGCCGCTTATCCTATTTGCGTTCCTACGTGATACTTGGAACTACGATCCCCGTCCGGCGAATTTAGATTGTGTCGTAATGCCTCGCGTCATCGTCGTCGGCCGATCATCATAGTCATTACTCCTTTCAACCTCGGTGCTCAGGCTTCCCGTTCCACGCCGCTGAAACGCACTGAAACGGCGGCAGTTTGCCGTTCAACTTTTTTACCAAAGTTACTGACTTCGATGTCATGTGAACGTCGCTTATTCCGCTTCCTACAAATGAACTGTGTTTAAAGCTGAACCCTCCTTCTTTTCCGGAATCGGCTGTTTATGTGCGCTGATATATCCTGTGATGTCGCTCGAATATGCTCTCTAAAATGCAGTCAGTGTACTACTATTGAATACTACTATTGAATATACACATATTGAAAATCAGTCAATAATCACTGGTGATCATAGTAGTATAAGTATGGCACTGTAAATCAGTTAAATTTCGCCGCGAAAGTCCATTAATAGCAATGGCTGTTTCTATCAGAGAAATTTCACTGCAGAAACAATACAAAAAAATATTATTTATTATTTCTTTTTTATTATATTAATCATATTCTTAAAATGCTGTCTATGTTTTTAATGTAAATATTATTATGTGTGTTCAATTGATTTAATTTATATCGTATTTCAATATATGTACAAAAACACGCTTGAGAGGACTCTGGCTCGTGAGTCTGCTACCATACGAACTACGTCAAATACGACATATGATTGAATGCATATATCGTATATAGCATAATACATATATAATGCATATTTGTATACAGGCTGTCCCTAATAGACTAATAGAGATAACTTCGTGAGGGTATAGAATGGATTGAGATAAATAAAAATGTTTTGTATCATTTTGCAATTAACACACAAAATTATTAATAATTGAAAGAGACCATTTATAGAAGCTTCTTTAATTAACAACTCAAAAACTTGCGTACATCAGTGATAGGTTTAAGGTTCGACGTTCAAGGTTATCAATATATCGATATCTCTCGCTAAGTACAGCTGTAACAGCTGTCATATATTTGTAGATTAGGCCACTCTGAATAAAAATATCTTTTACCATTTTGCAAATAATACGTAAAACTTTTATTAATTATTATTATTTAATTATTAGTTATTAATTAAAGAAGTCTCTATACAGGGCCATTTTCGGTAATCAATAACTCGAAATATTATGTGTTGTTTGCAAAATGGTACAGGACTTTTTTGTTCATCTCAATCTGTTTTCACGAAGTTTGTCCTTGTTGATCTGGAACACCCTGCATACAGAGTGTCGCAGCATAAGGAGAACATCTAATATTTCCTTTGTATTTTTAATCATACGAGACATGTTTAGAGCACAATTTGAATGGTTTCGGAGGAGAAATAATAATGGAAGGAAAATTTGTTTACGATTATTTTTTCAAATTTTTATAATCCCTACATTTAAGCCCCCAAGATATTTAGGTATTCTCCTTATTGATGGGGCATTGTATATTTCTGCTACGGGACGCACAACAGCGATTTGCAGTGAATTTTTCAATTCGCCAAAATCAGTGAATAATACAAAAAAGCTAAGTGGAAGTATTTCCATTAAAAATTAGTGAATACTCATTGATTGTTATATCACTGATACAATACTGTTTTGCTGATTAAATCAGTGACATTTTCACCAATTCGATTTAAGAGAGTGGATTATCGTTCTGCACTTCTCCCCGCTTTATTTGTTCCCCATTGAGGAAACGGAGTTGTTTCTCGTCGATGATTCGTCGATTCTACTCCTTTTCTCCACGAATGATTCTAAAATAGGCGTTGTTTCTTGCGATCAATTTTGGTCACCCTTTCAAATACAAATCGCACCGAACTGTGCGATGTATGCGTGTGTGTACGTGCTTCCTAGCGATATCCATCGATCCGCTTTTAAAGGGGCGTTCACACCGACGATATGTACGTATACGCGCACTAGCGGTGTCGAGAGGAGGCGCAGAAAGAGCAAGAGAGAGAGGGAGAATAGGTTCTTCGCGGCAGTCCCAGGGGACCAATGACCCCCTCGTCTGGCTCGATCACTGTGTCGCGATGCTCGTCACCAGGCGACTTTATAAACGATACCGCGAACTCGGACGGATCGCGAATGTTTTCGACGAGTTATTGCTAGATCCGAAGAGGGGAAAGCGAAGGCAAGAGCTAGAGGCCGAGAGAAATGGATAGAGGAAGCGAGTTAGAGAAAGTGAACTACCGACGACAACGACGACGACGAAGTTGGGCAGAAGCTACAGAAGACGGAAGGAAGAACGAGATAGAACATAGAAAACGCGAACGAGATAGGTGAAGGGGGGAGTGAAAAGGGGGAAGAACGACGGCCAGACAAGACCGAGGGAACGGAGGAAAACGTAGAAGAAGAGGGACAGAGAAGGACGATGAGAAATCTCTCCCTCTCTCTCTCTCTCTCTCTCTCTCTCTCTCTGCGTCGAATTTTTCTTCCTCTAACTTTCAGTCGTTCTCCTCGTTCTCTACTTTTTAGTTTTGTCCGTTCTTAATCCCCCTCTCTCTCTCTCTCTCTCCCTCTTTTCCTTCCTCTCTCGTTCCGTCTTTCTTTTTCCTTCGGTCTCGATAGCGTCTTCCTTTCTCTTGGGTTTTCTTCTTCTTCCTGCGGCGGGAACGTGGGCGTGGACGTGGGCGAGGTGAGTCTTCAGGGCCGGCGAGCATCGACCGAACCGGCCGGACGTCTCGTAAATCGCGTCGGTCTCCGGATCCTCTCGAATCGTCGATAGATACGTCCCTGCCGATCCAATTCTATGGCGGGAGATCTCCTGAGATTCCATCGTGGTAGAATGGAATCGGGTTGGAGTATGCTGCTACACGAGAAATATCGCCGACAATCATTGTAGTTAGCCACGTTGTAAGCAGAGGATTCGATTAGTTCGACCTCTCGTTCGGGGGATCGATCTCTATAAGTCCTCGAAGAGAATAAACCGAAGACGCTCGATCGGTTCGGCGATCGTAGTTAAAATGTATTCACGTATAATACACATTTACTTCTCCAGCACAAGCGCGTGGAAATATATTGTATATATTGTA